GAAATAAAATAATTTTTAGGGAGGTAAATGGAGAAATACGGATGAGAGAAGCTGAGAGATCAAACTATCCAATGACGCACAGACTGGTTGAGCTAGTAGTTAAGTTCATGGACACTGGCAGTGACCAGCTTTAGCGGTTCAACTAGAGCATGTCTGTAAGTGAAGGGTGAGTTGATGGTTGGGATGGTGTTTCTCTTCCTTTTGAGACAGAGACTGTGTTACTCAGAGTGGCCTCATGGTCCTCCTGCGTAAGCCACCCAGGTGCTGAGATTTGCAGGCCTGTGGCACTATGTCCAGGTACTTGGCTTCTTTTTAACTCACTGAACTTCTTTCCTGATAGCTGGATGTTTTTAGTGGCCCTCCGCTGCCATGTTGAGATTCCCAGTTAGGAAAATAATCTTCCTAGGGAGATGCCTCTTGTTTGTGGTTATTGTTTTCTCTTGGCAAGCAAATTTGACGTAGCTATTTGAAGATTTCTTCAGTTCAAGCGAGGTGAAGTTTTGAAGTTTTCTTGTTCTTTCATTGTTTTTTCCTAAAATGTTTCTACTTGTCATTTGGAGGTCATGCTTCAGGCTGCCTACCTGGGATTATACTTACCTAGACCACTGAGAGTTCAGCTGTGTCTCAACAACAAACTCCTCCAAAGTTGATTGACTTAGGATGCCAGCATAGTAATGAAGAGAGAGGCCATACAGGTTGGGATACTTGGACCCTACTGATCAACATGCTTCATCATTTTTGTTGAATTGGCCCTGGAGAGGGAAAATAGGTTGCTTATTCATCATGGAACCCAAGCAAGGTGAATGGCTGGGTGGATTTAATGACTGCTGTGATGGAGTCCTGTCTTCCCTTCTATGCTATTAGGAAATGATTCTTCAGTACATCAGGTAGTCAGATTGACTCTTGATCAGGGTATACATTCTTTGTGGACAGTTCCTGGGGGCTCTTGGGGATGCTGAACACTTGGCAGTCCATTTTAGGTTCCTTACGAGGTCAAGCCTGAAGTCTGAATTCAACCCTTGTGCTGCAGTGTGAGTGTGGTCCTATGATTGCTCCCCTCAGCATTCTGTCCCTTCATGTGTGTGTGTGTGTGTGTGTGTGTGTGTGTGTGCGTGTGTGTGTGCGCGCGCGCATATATAGGCACTTCTTTTTGTCTTCTTGTTTCTGTAAAATCTTATAGAAGATTAAACAGACTAATAACTATGACTTTGACTCAGAATAAGCTCAAATTTAAGTTTTACCTCTTGCTGTTCTTAATGATGTAATTAATATTACAGGAGTTTCTTTCATTACAAGTAAAACAAACCCAATTCCAACAAAAGTAGGTGCCTGGGACAATTTTTTTTAAAGGAGTGATTTATTTGATTATATATAAACAGTTGATTCTTATTATTTTCAGTAATTCCATTTTGTAAAGCTGCCATGAATGGCACATTAGTGACTCAGGGAAACCTTACGCTCAGACAGATGCAGGAGAGGGCACAGTGCTTTTGTCACCACTAATATTTAATCTTGCTTTATGTGTGCTAGTTTCATATATATTACAACTAATTATATTGCTCTTTATACTTCAGTTGAAGAAGGTTTCCTCCTTTCTTGATCTGGGTGATGTGATGTTGGTATTTAACTGTAAGCCTCTGTCAGTGCTGTGGTGTAAATCCATGGCTACAGCTGCTCCCCCACATTCTCTGGGCCACTGTTATGCACTCTTGGTAGTACTCTGGCATTTCTGGGGGGAGGTGGCTTAATGTAGAGATAGAAGAATTTGCTGACTTTTTTTTTCTGTTACCAATTATTAATGGACTTACAACTAACAATTTAATTTATTCATGGAGAAAACTCACCGAAAACACACATTTTCTTCACACATCAGCCTTCTTGCTCCCATATCTACAAGGCACATCAGCTCTAAGCTTGAGGGCTGTTTTGAACAGCAAAATCACTAGTCTGTCAAGGCCAACATTGATGCGTCTACAAGAAGAATTCTGGCTTGTATCTGAGTAGGAGCTCAACTGTGGACCTCTCCAGTGCACAGTGAACACTTAACTGCTGAGTCATCTCTAGCCCCAGACACATTTTTTTTTCCTATTGGTTAATCCTGTAGTTGCTCATCTTTTAATTATGACTAGTTCTGCACTCAGAAGGCAGATTGATTTTAAATACTGTAAGACATTTTATATACTGACCACAGTGCAGTCATTCTTACAGTGTTTTTGTGTTGTGGTATTGTAGGTGACATGTTATTTGGGTGTCAGGGTCAACCTGTGGATTTGTGTGGACACTGGCCTTAGTCTTGGATGTGGAGTGTGGCCCTGCTGCCTCTAGCTATGTGACCATGGGCGTTTTTGAGCTCTATGAGTGTTGTTTTATCCGAAAGTGATCGTTACAATGATGACAGGAGGTGATAGTGAATTGTGTGTTATTGCAGTGGTTACAGACCGTGTAATATCATGGTGCCAGTACAATTATTGATGGGAGAGAGAAGACAAAACCATAGCATATTAAAATGAAGAGAGAAATGAGTATGGATCAGCATTGAGCAACTCGGGGACATTCCATTATGAGCAAATGATATATTCTTATTCTTGTGCCCTCTCTGCCTGTTTTATACTTTAGGTTTTCTTTCCTAATCTTTGCAGTTCATCAAATAATAATGCTTAAGCTTAATACTTTTTTAGTCTAGCATCTAGACAAGATATTAAACTCTTGGGAAAGAGCAACATTTTCTGGTTAAGACAGAGTTAAGTTCGGTTTTATATTTTCATGCCTTTGTTGAAAGCTTCAAAACTTCAAAGAACAAATTAGAATTACTATAGTACAGGTGTGAAATTACATTGTACATATAGATGAACACTGTGAAGGACACAACACTGTATCTGTTGTCAAGAAGGAGCGAAACAGTTTTCATTGGATTATAATCTGTTTGTAGCCATTCTTTTTATGTTTGAAAGGAAAGAGTTGCCCATCTTAAAGTCTGCGTTTGCACAGAAAGGCATTCTGCTTTGTGTCCTTAGATTCTCAGAAGTTAGAAGTTAGAATTGGTTGATGGTGTGTTCTTGACATGTTGTGTCTAGCCTGTAGTTCACAGTGAGACTGTCATTTCCTTAGGATCCAGCAATGATTAAGTAGGACTCCCTGAAATGTGTGCAGTACTGCTCAGATGCCCTGGTGTTTTCCTCAGAATCTGAAAGTGGCTCTCAACTGAGGGCAATACAGCTTTAAGTAGTTAGAAAAGAAAACTTAATATTATAATTAAATATGTATAAAAATTGAAATGTAATCTGAATGTTCTTAAAGCCAGTCTTTGGAAGATTTCCTTTAATATCCAAGGAAAGTGATTTAAATGACAGACTCTGCTGACTAGAGGTCTTCTGCAATTGTCAAGAATTCCTAGGGGAAGAAGCAGTGTTTAAACATCTGTCATGCCTAAAACTGCTCGTTTTCTCACAGTCCTCAATCTTCACTTCCGTCTTTATGAAGTACTCTGTTTTTTTTATAATACCCTAGCAAGGTTCTGAGTTCTCCCATACTGGTAAAGTACTTACTGTAAGGATGTCATGCTTTCACTGTGACAGTGTGAGATTCTGAAAAATAATTACAGGTAGCATCAAACTGAGTGTTCTCAAATATAGCACTTCCCACTCTGGCCAGGCATGTGACTATGTTATGGGTTTTGGTTATTCCCTCTTCATCTGGCATCTCAAAGCAGGAAGAACCCTCCCTCACTTTGTGTTTGCAATGCCGGGGATTGCACACGTGGATCTTGTGTAAGCTAGGTGAGTTCTCTAACTCTGGTATGCCCTCATTCCTCTGCTCTTTATGACTTTCTTGAGATTTCTTACCTTTATCTCAGAACCAGAGAGGCTCGCTAGGGGTTTTCTTCAGTGGGGAATCACCTGTTTGATATTTCCAACTGTAATGATAGTAAGAGCCAAAAGAACTTTTGTAGAACTGCCTTCCATTTTCCAGAGCAGCCCCACCATTCTCCAGAGCAGCCCACTAATCTGAATACTAGAGCAGCCTGCCATTTTGTGTTCTTGTAGAAGGGCTTCACCTTACCTGGCCACTTTGGTGTGTGTGAACTGGTAAAGAGAGAGGAGATTTTTTTCTTTATTTGTTTGACAAAAATTACCCTTTTCTGTGTGTTGGGGCATTATTTTAAAAGCTGTGGATCTAGTGTCAACACTAGTCAGTTAGTCAAAGTTGATGTTCTGCTAAATGGAAGAAGCCTGTATTATTCTATGATGTCTGTTGAAGGATTACAAATCTGATGGAGTTATATTTGGAGGGTGGAAAGAAGAAGCTGCCAGTCCAGGTAGATGAGTATTCATGTCAGAGAAAGCAGGCCCAGATGGCAGTAGTGTTTGTTTCTGCAGAGGGCCCCTTTCCAGGTAGGAAGTACAACTGAAGCATTGGTAATGGAGGAGAGGCAAGAGTGTGCCATTTGCCTCTTTCTTCTCTCGTTTTAAGTGGCACAATACCAATAGTTTGTCTACAGATTTAAAAAAAAAAAAAAAAGCAGAGCAAATGCAAAAGAAAGGCACATTGAGAACATATGAGGTAAGTTCACCTCCATCATTGCCTAATGGTGTGCAGTGTTTCGGCCAGTCGCCACACTCTGCTCCTCATCAGTGACGTGGACCATGTTCTTCTTCTATGTTCACTCAGTGATGGAAAGAGGATATATTTAAAATGGCATTTTAAGTTCCTACAAAAACACATGGCAGCATCTTTATTACAGAACTACTTCTGACAGTCTATGTTATTAACGTGTTATTTTAGGATGCAAGGCATGATGATTATTAGGAGAGAGCCATTTTAATTATCACAAAAGTAATGGATTTTGTTACGATGTTTTCATTTCAACTGGCACATCTTTTGCTCACATGGGAGGGTTATTTTAATTGGTTGCAGTTGTTATTTTTTTGATGTTTTTAAAATCTGTTTTTTAAATCATTTTTTTCCTACTTTCCCCTTTTTTAAACCAAACTGTCTTCTAGGCTATATGACTCCCTGAAGGAAAAGAACAATGCTGTGTTGGGGGTATTGGTCTCTGGGCCAACCAGGCATCAGCTCCAACCTGCGGGGAGGAATCGTTGCCGAGCCCCAGGTGTGCCGCTTTGTATCGGACAGGAGCATCAAGGAAGTGGCGTGCGGAGGAAACCACTCCGTGTTCCTGCTAGAGGATGGGGAGGTTTACACGTGTGGTGTGAACACCAAGGGACAGCTTGGCCATGAGAGGGAAGGCAACAAGCCAGGTGAGTGTCACTTCAGCCTCCATGGGCAGCACACTGCTAAGAGAATGGGTAGCAGCTCCTTCCTTACCAGGCCTTTCTCTTCAGGGAAGTGCTGACTCCTTCAAGAGGTGCAGCATTCCCCACTGAACTGCGTCTAATTTAAGCTAGGTGACAGAAAAAAATAGACTTAATAGACTTTCTTCTTTCAATCTTATTACACAGTATGCAAACCAGGATGGAGAGGTGATTTTTCCCTAGTAATCGAAAGCTAAGACATGACAGTTTTAAAGAGGGAGTCCTCACATGATCAGTGACAGGCTTCCTGCCCGATTACCTCTTCATTCTTCTATTTCTGCAACATGCTTTTGAAAAGCATTTTATGCTGAGCACTGTGTGGGGCTTTGTGGGCAGAGATGAGGATGCAGCGATGAGGTAAGCCTGGGATTCTTATGGCAAGTGCTATGTGGTTGGGTGCTGGCAGGTGTGTGACAGATACATTGGGGTGGAATGGAGAGGTAAGGTGGGCAGAGCAAAAAGGATGAGTAGACTTTTGATCCATGGGCATATGTGTGTGTGTGTGTGTGTGTGTGTGTGTGTGTTACCAAGTACTGAGTGTACCCCGGGGGTGTGGTAGACTATGTGCATTAGTGTGTGTTTGTGTGTGTATGTGTTAGGAATACCGAGGTGTGGTTGAACAAGTGTACTAGTGCTGTGCTGAGACTGGTAAAATGAGTGAAGGAAAGGCTAAACCAGGAAGGCAAAAACTCATCAGTGTCCTTACATTAGTGCTTTTCATTTATTTCTGACAACCAGTGTGCATTTTTAAAGCCTGCTTGTTTATATCTTTTCTTCTCGCTTTATCATTATGGAACCTAAATTTGGCAGTCAGTGGACATATGGTGTGGACCTGTGACCTCAGAGTGGTTGTGCTGGGCTGATGGGCTAAGCCTCCCTGACTGTGCTCATGATTCTTAGCACACTTGTGAGCCAGTTTCTTTGTTCCTTGCTGTTCCTTTCACTCAGTGCAGGTCAAGTCTAGACACTGAAGCTTCACTAAAGGGCAGTCGTGGTGAGGTGGTTAAGACAATTACTGCTTTTCCGAGCACTCACGACAGTTGGCTCAGAACCTTCTGTAACTTCAGCTCTAGGGGATCCAGTGCTTTTTTTCTGGTCTCTGTAGTCTCACTAGTCACACACACAGACAAGTATAAATACACGGACTTTTTTTTAAAAAGAAGAGGCATGGGTTGGTATCCTGTAACTCTAGCATCTGCAGCATCAGGTGACCTGACTCATGTTTCCTCTTTATGAACTTATTTCTGTGGCATGTGGCTATGCCCTCTGCTGCCCCCCTGTTTTGGGCTCTGCCTAAATATCAGTCTTAATTTGTAAGCATGACTTCATGTTGCACACTTGAGAACAACAGACTGCAGGATTGGTTTTGGACAGAATTGTGAAGTATGTAAGGCTGATATGTAAGGTGGTGAATGTTTATAATCTTAGCTCTCAAGAGGCAGAGGCAGGAGGACCCAGACTTCAAGGCTGCTCTCAGCTGTAAAGCAAGTTGTAGGTCAGCCTGGGCTCCATGAAACTGTCTCCTGCCCCAAATTATAAAGGATCTGAGTATGCTTGGTAGGCTTCCTCTTGTTCACTGCTGGCTCCAAGCTCCCACTTGGAGAGTGCCCACTGTGTGTGCTCATGTCTGACACAGTCGTTAGGGTTTGCAGGAACGAGTTTGTAAGCTTCCCTGTCCACCAATGGTCCTTCTATACAGTGCGTCTAGTGTGAAAAGGATGGTTGTTCTGTGCAGGAAAATACTGTCAGTTGAAAGTGTCAGTAATTAATAAATAAGTAAATCATGCTTATTATGTTTTACCACTAGTATAATATATAACTACCATGAAGGCCGTGGGAAATTGTTGATTTTTACTGATGGACATCTTAGTGGAAAACGTTAAACCCTACAATTTTTTCCTCCCTTCTTTTCTTGCAACTCACTGTCTCTCATTGAGCTCATCAACGTCCCGTGTCTGCAGGTGAAAGGCACTGTTTAACAATGAGTGCCTTCAGAGGGGCAGCTTGAAGCCTTCCCTTCTTAGGGAATGTAGACATTCTGACAGGAGTTAGGTGCCTTGGACTCACCTTACTCAAGTGATTTTTTTTTTTAATTTTGTGGGTTGTGTGTGTGTGTATATGTGATGGCACATATCTGAGGTCAAAGTACAACTTTGTGGAATCCGCTCTTTCCTTCCTCCATTATGTGAGCATGAACTTGAGTTATCAGGCTTCACAGCAAGTGCTTTTCTTCACTGAGTCATCTTACCTGCTCCACACCCATCCTGAAGGACTGAGCTTCTGTGGCCAGCTTTTGCAGGAATGTATTCTAGGAACTGGGTGACCATTCCAATACTCTGAAAGATAACACAGCTGGGAGATTTCAAGTCCAGTAACCCACTGTAGATATTTCTCAACTCTGACTGACCCTGGAGGTAGCCTATGTTCTTATTTAGTGCATTATCTCTGGGCTGTGGCTTAAGCATCTGGAGTCTTGAGTCATCTCCAGGCCCTGCCTCAAGTGTCTGTAGTCATGTTCTCTCCAGCAGACAGAAAACTGTGACCTGTGTCTAGAATTACAAGCTGAGATGCCTGAGCTGAGTTTGAGAACTGGTTTGGTCTTTTACCACCAGGATAGCAGCCCCAGACAGTAGTCTTTCTGAGCTTCCCTTCTCTGTTGAAGAAGGAGACTTTTCTTTCTGGTATTGTAGGTTGTTTTTCTTGGGGCAGGAAGGGGCAGGGGTGTTGTTTGTTTTTGAGACATATCCTCGTGTAGCCCAGCCTGAACCTGAACCTCCTGTGAAACCAAACATGACTTTGAACAACTGATCTCCTGTCTCTACCTTCCTAGTGATGGCATTACCGCTTTGGACCACCCTCATCATTTTTTTTTTTCATGACCCTGCCTCTGGCGTTTACCTTCACTGTAGAGGTAGGGGTACACACATCTCTCAGTGCACATCTTTGCCTTAAAGCCTTGGATGGTAGCAGGTAGGGAAAGAAACAAACTCTGTGACAGCTCTCTTTAGAAGACACTCTAGTGAATGGATTGGGGGCGTAATCTCACATGTCTTCAGAGAACCCCTACACACAGTTCTGTGGAGTTAGTGGGAACCAGGTATGTCTCTGGAAGTAAAGGGGCAGGGAAGGGCAACCCTTTGTCTGATTGTACCCAGGATTAGGCCAGCACCTGCCATAACCAGGGCTGAGTGATGGCAGAAAACCAGAGAGAAACACCAAGAAGGCCTTTGAAGTCAGCAAGGGGAGCTGGTCCTACTTGTGATCTAACTCTGTGGTAAGCCAGACTCCTGTAAAAATTACAAGAGAATCCAGAAATTTCTGTTCCAAGTTAATCTTGTTCATTAATTATAAACATCACAGTGACTATTGAATAGTGCCTCCGAATGGAGAGATGTGTAGCTGGCTGCCTCCCTCTCTTTCTTTAACTTTTTCATGGTGTTCTAGATCTGGGTACCATTGGCTTAATTTTTCATGAGTAAAAGAAAGACTGAGCTTGCTTGCTCTCTGCTTGTTGGGATCCTTACCTGGATGACTACCAGTCAGAGAAGGGCAGCAGGGGGTTACAATGGAGACTGATAGATAGAACACACAGGACAGGAGTCTGGATTCAGTCTCCTGTACTGGGGAGAAGAAAGGAAGGTAAACAGGATAGACAGGCTCTGTTGGTAGGACCTGGCTTCCCTGGCATCAGAATGTCCTTCAAGTGGCATAGGGGTGGAAGCTGCATGGAAGGCCTTTGCCAAGAGGATATTCTTTTGGAGGACCAGGTTGAGATTTCAGCTCACACCACATAGATCAATTGCCTTTGAAATATGATGGTGTGTTAGAAATGAATATGTGATAATATACATCAAACCTTTGAGAACGCAATGAGAAGTGAGTTGGAGTCATGCTCACGGGCTCTAAGGTCTTAGATGTGGAAATAAGCAATGTGCCCATTTCTGGCTGCAGAGAATCTGAAAATGGACTACAGCGACGTGGTTGCACCTGCTGTAGGACAGCCATGGAAGACTCGTTGCTTTGCCTTAAAACTTTATATCTTGAAAATCCAGTGACTCAAGGAGCTGTTGAGTTTGACCTGCCAAGGAGGAAAGTGGGCAGTCATAGGATGGAGGTCCTTGGTTTGGTATTATGCCTTCAGTCTGTCTAGCCAAGCCAGCTGACAGGTTGTTTACTGACTTTGATATAGATACCCATGGTGGTTTGTTTGTTTTTTTCCTCTTTGAAAATATCTGTTGCTGTAGATGCCCTTGAGGCTCATTGTTTTCCTCAGTCTGTCACCTTTCAACTTCTCAGATTAGTAATGTACCTCCATCCCTGTGTGTGACTTCTTTTTAAAAAGTTATTACTAGATATGTGTATATTTGTATATATCTGTATGGGGGTATGTGTACATCAGTGCATTTGCCCGTTGGAGCCAGAAGGGGGCATCAGATCCCCTGCAGCTGGAGTTACAGGTGGTGAGCTGCCCAGAGTGGGTGTTGGGAACCTAACTCAGGTCTTCTGCAAGAGCAGTCCATGCTATTCTCCGAGCCAGCAGCATTCAAGCTTCAGGAAGGGGATATTTCAACAGTTGGCAAAATACTGAAACTCTGGCTTTGCCTGTCTGTATAACTGTCTGTGTATGTGTGTGTGTGAGAGAGACAGAGACAGATCTATTTGCAAACAGGCCAAGGGCAAAGAAGCCTGGAACAACCAGAGGTATTTTCCTAACAAGTTATTAAGATTCATCCAAGCCAGGTGTCCGGCTTCACTGGGCTCTAGGCTCTTCTGCATTCTGCCTTTTCTTTCCTTTCTCCATCCTACATTCTCATATCAAACCCCCAATCCAGATAAGGCTACTGATTTGAGGTATGGTAGGGTTATTACTAATTCCTTCATGTTCTTGTCCGTAGTTTATTTCATAATTTTATAAGACAAAGAGTCACTGAGCTGCGCTTGTAGGG